TCTGGCTTTGAACACTATGAGAGGCCCAGGGGACCTGGCTGCTAATATAAATTTTTTTAAAAAGAGTAAATGACCATGAGTAACTAAGAAGATTTTTGAAAAAGTAGAACATAGAAATAAAGCCAACCCTATCAGATTATGACATTCTATGAAACTATAGGTATGGTATTGATTTCTGGAGTAGATAAATAATCATTAAAATGTAAGAGAGTTGAAATAGTCCCACACATATTTCAGGACTTCTATCTTTGACAGATAAAAGATTGTAAATCAATGAGGGGGGAAAACAACTAACTGAATAAGATAAGTATATAGTCAATGACTGCCTATGAGCTCTCCACTGTATATTGCACATAAAAATCTTTTTTTCAGGTGGATAAAAACCTTTAAAACTATAACTTTGGCTGGCAGAGTGACTCAAGTCCTAGAGCACTAACTAGCCTAGCTGTCAGAAGATCCAGAGTTTGAAACCCATGATCTCCTGAATGAAGTTTTAAAAAAAAAACAAAAAAACCTGTAACTTAGAAGGAAATGCAGGGGGAATCTCTGAGCATGAGAAACCTTAAGACTACTAAAGTGCAAGCCAGGTGTGGTGGCTCATGCCTTTAATCCCAGCTGTGTGGGAAGCAAGAGATGGGGAGGATGGTTCTTTAAGGTCAAAAAGTTCTCAAGTCCCCCATCTCAAAGTTCTTGAATGTGATGGTGCACACCTGTCAACCCAGCTTTACTGGAAGCATTAATTGGAGGATCCCAATCCAGGCTGGGTCCAGGCAAAAATTGGAGACCCTTTTTGAAAAACACCTAAAGACTACTAAAGCACAAAATGAAATGTTAGATAACAGGACTGGAGGTATGAGTGACTACCTTGCAAGCATGAAGTCCTGAGTTCAAACCGTCCCACTGAGAGGGAGAGGAAGAGAGAGAGAGAGAGAGAGAGAGAAAGAAAGAAAGAGAAATTTTAGGGAACCTGGATGAATTTAGACTATGTTACCAACTTAAAATTTCCCATTTCAGAGGCCCACAAACAAGATTAAACAAAGGATAAACTGAGCAGTGAGTGATGCAGTGTGTCTGGCTAAATAGATAACAGATTGCTTTGTGTATGTTCCCCCACCCCAAAACCCCCCAACATCATCAAAGGCAGCTAAAAAGTATACTGAAATATACAATATAACAAGGCACAGAATTAAATCCTTTCATACAGGATGCCTACCCTGTGTTCTTGGTTCTTTTTCTCGAGTTCTTGGAATACCTGTTGCATTCTTCTCTTTTCCTTTATGCATTTTACATTTGTTTCTCTAGTTGATATCCTTAAACACTTATTCCCTCCCCCTCCCCCCTTTTTGTTTTTGTTTTAGATTTTAAGGGAAAGTGTTTTGTCAGGAAATACTTTTGGGTACATTTTGGGACTTTTGGGTTTGTTTTTTTGAGACAGGGTCTCACTATATAGCCCAAGGTGGCTTGGGACTCTTCAGTTCTCCTGCTTCAACATCTTGAGTTCTGGGATTACAGGCATTTACTACCATGCCTAGATGGAATTTAAATAACTTTCAAAATGTCTTATTATGTTTATTAGGATTATTTGTGCTTTTGTTAATATTCTGGTGACTAGGTTTCACAGATGGTTTACTCCAACCATTTTTTTCCCACAAGCCATGTAAGTTTTAGTGTACAGTTACATAGAATGCAAACATTTTCAGTATTTCAAATGTTGCATTATGTCAGAAATGCTTAGGGCTAGGGCATGGCTCAAGTGGTAGGACAGCCTGTCTAGCAACCACAAGGCCTTGAGTTCAAACCCAGTACTGTGCCCCCTGCAAGAAGTCTAAAGTACATATATACGGCAAATGATTTTAATATCCAGAAGGTGGGATTCTAGGTATAAATCATCTTTCATCAGAACTTTGAGCACATCATTCCACTGTTTTGCCATTTCTTATCAATTAGTATAATCTGGTCTTCATTCCTGTGTAAGTGATCTACTTAAATACTTTTTATTCCTTCTCTGGAAGCTACTAGACATTGAAAAATCATTATTTGAAAGTTTCCAGTGATGTATGTAGGTGTTAAAAATTAATTATATGGATCATCCAGTTGTGTCTCATTCAGCAGACATACTGTACATATTGTACATTGTGTAAATAATTAGGGAGTACAACCTGGTGCTTATTTTTAAAATTTTTTCATTTATGCTTTTGAGGCAGGGTTTCATTATGTAGCCCATGCTGGCCTAGAACTCACTATGTAGCCCAGACTGCCCTTGAGCTCCAGATTCTCCTGCCTCAGCCTCTTAAGTGCTGGAATTACAGCCATATACCACCACACTGGCTTATATTATTTTTAAAACTGTATTTTGTTTGACAAATATAAACTGATTTCTTGGTCTTGATTGCTTTGCATTATTTTGATTCCAAGTTATGGTGACTATTTTAATGGTTTAGTTTATGGTCGTAATTAAGAAGTGTTAACCACTTCTAATGCTACTTTAATGATATTAGCTACTATCAAGCACTTTCTTGACATAAATATTGTGATGAGTAGTTTACATACATTATCTGTGTTATCTATTTACAATTGAACAACTCAATTGTAGTTGGGTTGTTTGGGTGAAGAAGTGGATGTTAGAGTGAAAAAGTAACTTGTTCAATGCTGTGAAGTTTGGAACCTCAGGTTCTGTGTTACCTTTGTTAGCATAAATGATTAATATCAGTATATTTGTATGTATACAGAATTGGATTAAACGCATTATTACTTTGGATCCCAAATACAGACTTCTGTGATTTTTTTTTTTTAGATTTGCAAACCATTTATTTATTTTTTTCCTTTTTTTTGTTATTATTATTTTTTTATTCACATGTGCATATATTATTTGGGTCATTTCTCTCCCCTGTTCCCCTCCCCCACCCTCTTGCCCCTTCCCCCCTCAGTTCCAGGCAGGTTGTATTCTGCCTTTATCACTAGTTTTGTTGAAGAAAAGAGACAAGCCTAATAAGGAAGACAAAGTGTTTTTGCTGGTTGAGTTGGGGATAGCTATACAGAAATATTCCTAGCATTGCTTTCGTGTACATGTGTTATGACCCATGTTGATTCATCTCTAATTGATCTTTACCCTGGTTACTGATCCCCTTCTCATGATAAACCTCTGTTGCTTTAAGGTTTCTGTATTAGTTCCTCTGGAGTGGGGACATCAAACGCTTTCATGTTTTGGGTTTTCTACCTATAACACTGAAATGTGCTCTCCCCTTGTCATGTGGTCCCAGTCCAAACATATTGCTGCATTTGCCCTAGATCTAATGTCCGCATATGAGGGAGAACATAACGATTTTTGGTCTTCTGAACTTGGCTGACTTCACCCAGAATGATGTTCTCTAGTTCCATCCATTTACCCGCAAATGATAAGATTTCATTCTTCTTCATGGCTGAGTAAAATTCCATTGTGTTCAAGTACCACATTTTCTTGATCCATTCATCAATAGTGGGGCATCTTGGTTGTTTCCATAACTTGGCTATTGTGAATAGCGCTGCAATAAACATGGGTGTGCAGGGGCCTCTGGTGTAATCTATGTTGTATTTCTTTGGGTATATCCCCAGGAGTGGGATTGCTGGATCTTATGGCAGGTCTATGTTTAGGTTTTTAAGGAATCTCCAGTTTTTTCCAGAGTGGTTGTACCAGCTTGCATTCCTACCAACAGTGGATTTGGTTTCCCACCAACAGTGGATTTGGTTTCCTTTTTCCCCACACCTGTTGCTGGTGGTGTTTTTGATGATGGCTATTCTGACAAGGGTGAGGTGGAATCTTAGTGTGATTTTGATTTGCATTTCCTTTATGGCTAGGGATGGTGAGCATTTTTTCATGTGTTCTTTGGCCATTTGAATTTCTTCTTTTGAGAAAGTTCTATTAAGTTCAGTTGCCCATTTTTTAATTGGTTCATTAATTTTAGGAGAGTTTAGTTTCTTAAGTTCCCTGTATATTCTGGTTATCATTCCCTTCAGACTTCTGTGATTTCTATGGTTCTCTTAAAAGCAAAATGATCGTATGTGAGAGGGAAAATAAAAATTATATTATTTAGTGTGGTTCCACTTAGAATGCTAACTATAGATGTTTAAAGCTGTAAGTGTGCTTAAATATTCACTTGAGCCAGTGGCTCACAACCGTAATCCTAGCTAGTGAGGAGGCAGAAATCAGGAGGACTGTGGTTCAAAACTAGCTCAGGCAAATAGTTTGAGGGACCCTATCTCGAAAAACCCAACACAAAAAAGGTGGCTTCAAGTGGTAGAGCACCTGCCTAGCAATTGTGAAGCCCTGAGTTCAAACTCAGTACCAACAAATATTCCCTTGCATACTATGCATACTATTGTGGAAAATTTTTATATTTATTGATCAAATAAATTTGGGCAACACTTGTTTTTCCTTAGCAGATAGGCTTGTTAAAACCTTATCCTAGAATTTCTCAAATCGATCTATGCACTCTTTTTTATTTGCTAGGGTTGGAGGGGGGGTTGAACCAGGGCCTCATGCATGCTAGGCAAGTGTTCCACCACTAAGTTACACCCCCAGACTTGTGTATTGTTTGGTAGTAGACTTAATAGTATTTTGTGGAATAGTATCTGAACACACATCAGTTTTTGACAAAAGCTGATGTACTTCATCCCTTCATTTTATAAGGGGAAGAGATGGATATTCAGTGTGTTAGGTGTGATGCTTCACACAGCCAAATGGCAGAGCTGGGATATGATCCAGTTCTTCCTTTTTGCCACCCTTCATAGTAATATTTACTTTTCATACTACTCTGTTAAAAAGTTGTAAAGCACACTTGAGTGTTATTTCTTTTATGTTCCCATCTCATCCAGTTCTTAAAATTTTGAGATGTATGTGCATTTGAATAGCCTGACTTATTTAGCATAAATACATATCCATAATCACTTGTTTATGTTTAATCATGGAAATAAAAAGAGTAATTGTTTTCTGTAATTAACATGTCACAAATGTTTTGGGTTAGTTTTTGTAGAAAATGTTTCCTGACTGCAATGAGAGAAAGTGGAATACATTGTCCCTTGTGTCGTGGACATGTGACTAGAAGAGAAAGAGCATGTCCAGAACGGGCCTTAGATCTTGAAAATATCATGAGGAAGTTTTCTGGTAGCTGCAGATGCTGTGCAAAACAGGTAAATATAATATAGCTCTTTTAAAGTTGTACTCTGAAATAGTCTGAATTCCCTTGGTAAGTGTTGTTTTTGAGAAGAAAGATGTCACATAGGTTGGGAATTGGTTAGAAAAGGCCAAAAGCTGTGGCTGTACATCTTACTAGATTATGAGTTTATGAGAACAGAGACTGAAAGATAAAATCTTTGTATTTATCATAATTTTTAGTAAATTCAAAGCAAACATTTACTGATTAGTTACTAAATTAACTGAAGGAGCATTTAGCTCACCTGTTCCCCATTGAGGTACAGATTCAACCCTTAGTTTTTCTGATAGTAGCATCATTATTGCAACTTGGCTCATAGAAATGCTAATAGTTTGCCCATAGCCATGGAACTCTATAGCTATGTTTAACCTAAGAAATCACAAACTGTTTGGCAGAAGACTTTGGTTAAGTTTTAAGAAACAGGTGGGAAAATAACTGGTATCATTTCTCTACTCTGGATTTTATTGTTCTATTATTTGGAGGAGTGAATTGGTGAGAAATATTTAGGCTTTGAGCATATTCATGTGTCTATTGGTGTTTATCATAGACACTTTTTCTAATGGCCAATAAAGTCAGTGAGCAAAACCAGTTGCTACTTCCTGCTTTCACCCAAGTCAGATCTACTTTTCCATCTTTCTGAGGAAGGTGTGTAACTGACAGGTCAATGAAGTAAAACTGGAAAACATACTTGAGAACTTCTGGCTTTGCTCCTCCGTGAGAAACTAAAACATGTTCCTTTTTAAACGTGCCTTCTAACTCTGCCAGGCTTTAGTAGTTAAATAAAGAAATTCCCAATAGCATGAAGCAACCTCTTACTATTTTTTTCCTAATTAATATTATCATTTCAAGTGTAAAATTGTTTAATTCTTTTGTAGTAAGTTTATGAAATGTAGATTCATCTCCATGGTCTGTGCATCTAATAGACAACAAAAATGTTTCCTCTTTTTAGGTCCTACTTAAGAATTAAAACTTTTACTGATTTTTCTTTAAAAAGACTTCTTATTGGGCTAGCTGAATGGCTCAAGTGGTAGAGTGCCTTTCTAGGAAGCAAGAGGCTCTAAGTTCAACCCCCAGTACTCCAAAAAAAAAAAAAACCAAACCAAAAATCAAAACTTCTTGCTTAAGTGAAATTTTTAGTTATCTTTTTATCTTACTTCTCTGGTTGACAAGTGTCTCAAACCTTGTGGAGTTCTATGTTAAATTAACAATCACATTTAATAATTTACAGATTAAATTCTATCGCATGAGACATCATTACAAATCTTGTAAGAAGTATCAGGATGAATATGGTGTTTCTTCTGTCATTCCAAACTTTCAGATTTCTCAAGATTCAGTAGGAAACAGGTAAGCAACTTTTAATCTGAAAAGAAAAAATTTTAAATTGAAAAGGATATTGTTTGGGAAATTATATAATTATATAACAGTATGTTTTTAAAGTAACTTATACTACCAGAACTACAGCATTTGCCTTCAAAATTTGTTTGGTACATATAATACTGTGTCTAGGAGATCAACTTCATGATATAGTTAAGCTTGTGTTATTTAAAATCATCCTGAGAATCTACTTTTCTTTGAATAAAAATCAGACGAGAGTGGAAGGCTTTTTTTCTTACTGATTTTGCAAATGAAATAATTTGAAAGTTAGAGACAGTTCCTCTTAGTAATGTATTTGAACACTGGAACTTTTTTCACTGTCATCTAAAGGATAGACCTAAAGTTATTTGAAGTCTTTATTCTAGTAGCCTCATGTAAAAGTTGAGGCTTGGTACAACTAAATTCATAATCGTATTTTATTCTCAATTTTTTTTTTTTTTGGTGGTACTGGGGTTTGAACTCAGGGCTTTGCACTTCCTAGGCAGGCACTCTACCACTTGAGCCAATCTACCAGTCCTCTCAATTTTCTTTTAAACTAGGTTTTGATTTGATTTTGTATCTTGTCTCAGAATTTATGTATATTAAATGCGTTTAGAATATGTACAGAAGAGTGACCAGCATGTGCATGTGTGATTTGAAAAATAGTAACAAAATAGATACCCAGTAATCCACTAAACTAGGTAAAAAAAATAGAACATTTTTCAGAACCCTGGAATCTCCTGTGGGCTCTTGCCCATTTGCACCTATACTCCTAAAACCACTGACTTCCTATTTGGATTATTATTCCCTTGCTTTTTCTTATATGTTATCATCATGTGTGTATTCCTAAATAATGCTTTGTTTAATTTTGAAAAACAAATTTATGCACAACTGTCTTAAAGGCAATTTTGCCACTATTACAGAAACTCCTAGGAAACAGTATGTTAGAGTTGATAAGTTTTTATTTTAGTCACTGTTCATTATATAATTTGCTAATTTTAGTAATTTAACTACTCTTAACCACTCTATATTTAGCTTAATGCACTAGGCTTTTTACATACTCCTCAGTTAAAACTGCTTTAGTAAAGGTCTTTAGTAATTTTTCATTTCCTGGGCTGTAAAATTCTTTCAGGTTTTCAGTTTACTTGATTTTTGTCATTAGATGAAATTCATTACCCTTGTCTTCATCATAATTCATCATCATCACTCCCTCACCTCTATACTTTTACCATTTGTATTTCCTTTTTCCTCACTACCCCTCCCCATATTTTGCCAGCTAGTGGACTTTTTCTTTTCCTTAAAAACTTAGACCAGATGTCAGCTACTCTGTGAAGTCTTTCCTGGCGTCTTGAAATGAACTTTGTTCTCCAGTTAGAGACTCCAGATTTTGTTGTTTATTTGTTTAGTGGTATATATCCTTATGTAAAATAGGCTTCTTAGTCTTAATCATTTTTCTAGTCTATGCAAAGTTCTAATTGGAGTGGGAAGAATTGAATTTGTGTATGAATGTTTAGTAAGGAAGTAGGCAAAGAAAGGGTTTTTTTTCTTTTGCTGGTTTGTTTTTTTTGCAGTGCTGGGTGTTGAACTCTGGGACCTAGAGCCTTTTGAATATGCTAGGTAAACACTCTCCCACTTAGCTATATCCCAAAACCTTGTGTTTTTTTTGGTGGTGGATATGGGACTGAGGTTGAACTCAGGGCTTCATGCAAATCAGGTGCTCTATGGCTTGAGTCACATCTCCAGTTTAAGACCTTGATTTTTTGATACATTGTCTGATTATATAGCTCAGGCTGACTTTGAATTTGTGTTCCTCCTGCATTAGCTTCCCAAATTCTGGGATGACAGGCATGTAACACCATGTCCAGCAAAACAAAGGCTTTTGTTGTTGTTGTTTTAATGGTAGGAAATATAAAATATGATGCCAGAGTATTGTCAGGGTCCTAATGTGTTCCAGGCACTTTGAGGAGACTATAGTAAAGGAACTATTTCTCTCTTTTTTTTGTGTGTGTATGGTATTGGGATTTGAACTCAGGGCCTGAGCTTGCGAGGCAAGTGCTCTGCCATTGAGCCATGCCTCCAACCCTGCCTTTTCGATTTTTCAGACAGGGTCTCACTATATATTCCAAACTGACCTAGAATTTACCATCTTTAATGCCTGTACCTCTTGATTGCTGAAATTACAGGCATGGCCCAGCACACCCAGCTAAAGGAACTATTTTCAATGAGTAGTATATTGGGTACATTGTGTGAACAGATGTAGGAAGCCACAAAGAATAATGATGTATCTTCAGCCTACTGAAAGTCAGGAAGTAGATACCAGAACCTGTTGAAAGAAAGTTGAATGGGGAGGACAGTCAGAGAGATGCAGCCAGTCAAGGCAGTTTTGCAAGGAAGTTTTAAATCTTGACCATCCTGTTGTTTGTGCCACCAAATCTCCTCCTTGGCTGGACCCAACTGGAAAAACAGAGCCACGGGGCCTGATGATGCAGGTTTTTCTCTGAGCACACAGGGCATAGTTGTAAAATATAGGACAATAGGCCTGGAAGGGCAAGGTGTCTAGTATGTAAGAATTTGAGTTTGTAGTCAAATAAATTATACTACTCTATGTGCTGTTTCAGAACTTCAGGTAGTTAATACAAAGAAGAAAACATTTGGACTAGGGGTATAGCTCGGTGGTAGAGTGTACTTAACATGTGTGAGGTCCTGAGTTCAATCCTCAGCACCACAGAAAAAGAAAAGCACAGGGGTTGGGGATGTGGCTCTAGTGGCAGGGAGCCTGCCTACGAAGAGAGAGGCCCTGAGTTGTGTTGTGTTGTGTTTTGTTTTAAAAAAAAAAAAGCTGTGCTTTTCACATTTATTTGGGATGCATAATGCAATGTAGGAAAGTTTCCTCATGTGATTAACCAACCAGTTGTTCTTTCATTAAGGAGTCTGTTCCTTCCCCCACTGATTTATAATGCTACTTCTTTCTTACATACCTGTATTCTGTTCTTTTGGTCCATTTATTGCTCTAGTGTCATACTATTATCTTAATTCCTATGGCTTTAATGATAAGTCTCTTATTTCTTCCCATGTTTTCTTAAAATAATTGTGATATTCTTGGCTTTTTGCTATTCCATGCAAAATTTAGTGTCAGACTTTTGAGTTTCCTAGAAGTCCCTGTAGTGTTTTTTGTTTTGTTTTTTTGCTGAGTAGCCTAGGCTAGCCTGAAATACTCAATCCTCCTGCCTTGACCTCCTCAGTAGTAGGATTATAAACTTGTGCCTGCTCCCTGTAGGGATTTTCATCAAAAGCATTATGGGTTTTTGGGCTGGAGGTATAACTCAAGCTCAAAGTCCTGAGTTAAAACCCTAGTTTTTAAAAAAGGCATTATGAAGATTTAATTTCTTAAAATCATGAATTAATTTGGAGAGAATTGGCATCTTATAATGCTATTTTTTTTAATTTAAGAATATAGTTTATCTTTCCCTTTTTAAAAAAGGTGTTAAATAAGGAACCCTTACTCTGTTTTGTGGAATGAAGTTTTGCTTGATTTTAGAATCAACAATGAAGCCAATTAAGATCTTTAAGGCTGGGGATGTAGTTCAGTGATAGAACACTTGCCTAGCATGCCCAAGGCCCTGGGTTCAATCCCCAGCAGCACCCAAAATAAAGCAAAACAAAAAATTTTCATTTAAAGCATCTGTAAATGTTTAGTTCATCTCTTCCTAATAACATATAGTTTTTATGGCTATACAAATGGGTCTTTTTTTTTCTCTGTTTAGTAATTTAATTGGTTATTACTAATGAGGGATGTTATAGATATTTGTCCATAATCTTAATATCCAGTAACTTTGGTTGTAATAGTTCTGATAATTTAACTGTAGGTTCTTTTAGATTTGTTATGAAAAACAGTATTTTCTAATATAGTTTTGTCTGTTGCTTTTTAATTTAATGCTTAATAACATACCTGTTTTATTGCACTAAATAGGATCTCTCTCTAGTGTTAAATAGCAGGCATCTTTTTTTTTTCTTATTTCTGATTTTAGTGGGAATGCACCTATAATTATACTATTAAGTATGATGCTTGCTAGACAACATTTTTTTATGGTGATGGGGATTGATGCATGCTAGACAAGTGCTCTACTGTATCCCTGTAAGCTGTATCCCTACCCCCAACATAAATATTCTTTTCTTTTTTCTTTTTTTATGTGATACTGGGGCTTAAATTCAGTGCTTCATGCTTGTTGGGCAGGTGCTCTACCACCTGAGCCACTCTGCCAGCCTTTTTTTGTGTGTGTTGGGTATTTTTGAAATAGGATCTCTTGAACTATTTCCCTGTACTGGCTTCCAACCACAATCCTCATGACTCCTGCCTCTTCAGTAGCAAGAATTATAGATGTGAGCCACCTGAGCCCCAGCTGAGAAAGCATTTTTAAAGGGCATTAATTTTGCTATTAAGATGCTTTAAATCAGAGGTGTTGTGATTACTTGACCTACCCCATCAATAAAAAACTTGAGATTGTATTCCCAGTATTTGTATGTTTATTTAAAAACTGTGCATGTCTTTTATATAATCATGGATACTTTATGTACATTTTAAAGCATGCACAACTTTTTCTTTTTTTGTGGCCCTGGGGTTTGGATGCAGGGCCTGATGCTTGCTTGCTAGGCAGGCATTCTACCACTTGAGCCACTCTACCAGCCCAACTATTTTTTTTTTTTTTTTTTTTAAGACAGGGTCTTAGTAGGCTGACCTCTGACTCCCCTTCTTCCTGTTTCCACCTCTCAAGTACTGAGATTACAGGTGTATGCCACCATGCTCAACTAAAATATGCACTTTTTTTTTTAAAGAAGAATTTAGGACTGGCGGAGTGGCTCAAGTGGCAAGAATGCCTTCCAAGCAAGCGTGAGGCCCTGAGTTCAAACCCCAGAAAAAAAGAGTTTACTTTTTTCTTTTTGTGGGACTTGAGTTTGAACTCAGGGCTTTGTGCTTGCAAAGCGGGCATGCTACTGCTTGAGCCAGGCTTCCAGTTCATTTTGCTGTGGTTATTTTATAGATAGGGTCTCTTGAACTATTTGCCTGTGCTGACCTTGAACTGTGATCCTCTGGATTTCAGCCTCCCAAGTAGCTACTATTACAGGTGTGAGTCACTGGTGCCCAGCCTTAAAAAACAAAAAAAAAGATGGGGTCTTATTATGTTGTCCAGACTATCCTCAAACTGCTGGATTCAAGTGATCCTCCTGCCTTACTCAGCCTTCTGAGTATCTTGGACTATAGGAATGCACCACTATGTCTTGACTTGAGATTTTCCTTTTTTAAAATAGATATCACAGACTGGGTTTGGTCACAAAATCACAAAATATCCCCCTTAAATGCATTCTCTATAATTTGAGTTTATTGTAAAAAAAAAAAAAATAGGTTTTGCTTTTGCGTTCCTCATATTGTAAAAAAAAAAAAGTGCTTCTTATACCTGAACAGGTATTAAGGTGCATAGTAGTGGTTTTTAAAAGTTTTTTTGGGCCCAAAAGGGGGGCTAAGAGGGAGGGAGGGGGAGGTGGCACAAACAGTGTGTACACATGTAAATAAATGTAAAAACGATAAAATAAAAGAAAGAAAAAAGTCTTTTGGGGTATGTAGCTAAACGGCAAAGAACTGTGTGAACTATGTATAAAGAAACAACATTGTTACCACTACACCTGGCTGTAACTGCAGATTTTAAAAGTCACAAATAAAAACCTAGTAAGTATTCCTATCTTAATTTATTTGAAAAGCAATTAATGCCATAATTATCTCCTAGTTCAGAACTACTTGAAGTTCAGACTTTTAAAACAAATTCAGACTAGTCTTCATCAACAGTTCAAGTTAATGAACCCCTAATGTTTATTATTTGGGATGTTAACATTTCTCCCCTCCCTCCTGCTTCTTAAGTAATAGGAGTGAGACATCCACATCTGATAACACAGAAACTTATCAAGAGAATACAAGGTAAGCTTTTGAAAAAAATTCTTCTACGTTAATAAATAATACTCATCATTTTATCAGATAATAATAGATTTTTTTGTTTTTTGGCAGTACCCAGCCATTTTTTGCTTTAGTTATTTTTGTATAAAGTGCCATATTCATGCTCAGACCAGCCTGGACCTTGATCCTTCCTGCAGCTGGGATGACAGATACACACCACCACGCAAGCCATTGGTTGAGATAGGGCTTTGTGAACCTTATGGCAGACTCTGCCTCCCAAATAGCTAGGATTGCAGACTTGAGTCACCATACCTAGCTAGATGATTTTTTTTTTTTCTTTTTTGTGGTGCTGGGGATGAACCCAGAGCCTCATGAGAATGCTAGGCAGACACTTTACCACAGTACTATACCTAAAGGCCCAAATAATAGGTGTTTTGTTTGTTTGTTTGTTTTTGAGTCAGGGTCTTTATATATATATGGATGTATGTATGTATGTATGTCTTATCCTCCTGCCTCAGCCTCCCAAGTGCTGGGATTACAGTTATATACCACCATGCCTAGCTCCAATAATAGATTTTTAAATTAAACTTCTGTTCAGTTAAGTCACTGACCATATAGTGTTAGAAGTTAGAAGTTCAGAAATAATATATTTGGTGCTTTTAAGAATCACATTAGAGCTGGGCACTGGTGGCTCACAGCCATAGCCCTAGAGGCTGAGATTGGGAGGGTCACATGGTTCGAGGCCAGCCCAGGCAAATAGTTTGAGAGATTCCATTTTAAAAATAAGCAGAGCAAAATGAACTGGAGGTATGGCTCAGGTGGTAGAGTGTCTGTCTGCCTAGCAAATGCAAAGCCCTAAATTCAACCCTAGTCCCCCCCCCACACCCAGAAAAAAATGAAAGAATCATATCATAGAAAGAGTTTAGCTAGTCTCTTGATGGTGGTCAGGTGTCTTCCATGCATTTTTCTGATAAAGCTGTCAGTATTGCACTGTCCTTTGTTGACATTCAGAGGTTTTAAAACCCTGTGATACTTGATTTTCAGAATGTTTTGATGTGCTTCATTCTAGTGATCAGTGCTTTTGTTTATCCTTTTTTTCTATGAATTATATATGTGAGATTCCTAGCACCTGTGACAGAATAAAGATGAAATTTAGAGAAAGCCTTCTAAAAGTTGTAAGTTCCTAGATGCAAGGTTTCCACTCTATGGTTCCCTACAGGATGTGTAGTGTTTTTAAAAGACCCACAGTGACATCTGTTTATATCACATTAATGATTATAATTAAGTTTGGACCTGATTACTTAAAAACAGCTAGGTTTTTTTTGGTTTTTGGAGGTTTTTTTTTTTGACTGTACTAGGGTTTGAACTCAGGACTTCACACTTCCTAGGCGGGTGCTCTACCACTTGAGCTACTCCACCAGCCCTTTTTTATGTTTAGTTTTTTGAAAGAGTTTCTTGTGAACTATTTGCTTCGGGATAGTTTCGAATAGCAATCCTGATCTCTGCCTCCTGACTTGCTGGGATTATAGACATGAGCCACCAACACCTGGCCTTGTGTTTTAAACATGGTCTAAGTATGTAACCCAGGCTGGCTTTAAACTCTTTCTCCTGTCTCTGCCTCCCAAGTGCTAGAATTACATATGTGCCCTCCACGGTCAGCTTGGTTTTTGTTTTTGGGCTGGGCAGGCACCATGAAAAATATTAACTGAAACTGTAAATTGTAAACTGAGATTGTTTGAGAAATCCTATTCTAGATCATTTGTTAAAAGCCCTTTCAAAATGAGAGAATCCTTGAATAGTCTAAAAATTACAACTTTTTAAAAAATAGAAATCCACAGTGAATTAGTAAAAAATAGGACAGCATGATTTTTATGTAAACGATGTTTTTAATAGGATATATTCATTATGGGGGGGGAGATTCATAGTGACAATTCCAATTAGACTTGTATTGTACATTATTTACATTGACCTGAATATCTGTCCCCTTCAACCTCCTCCCCATCCCACTTAAGCCAATTGCAAGAGGTTCTTAGTTCTGTTTCCTATAGGTATATGAAGCCCATCTGCCATATACCATCACCTTAATCTCCTTCCTTCACCCATCCTCCTCCCACTAGTACCCCCCCATACACACACATACACACTGTACCTATTTTACAGTCCTGGTTTTCATTATTAATATTTAAGTTGATGTTCAAAGGGGTGTCTCAATGTATGCCCATTGTGGGGTGTACTTTACTTTGGTCTATTCAAACCCTTCAGTTACTTTCCTATGTTAATGATTTTGAATTAAGTATGTTTCATTTAAAATTATTTTGTAGTTCTTCTGGACATCCCACCTTTAAGTGTCCCTTGTGTCAAGAGTCAAATTTTACCAGACAGCGTTTACTGGATCACTGTAACAGTAACCACCTATTTCAGATAGTTCCTGTGGTAAGTTCAAATGTTTAAGACAGTCTTCTGCTTTAGGATGTGGTTCAGTTTATCTTACTTCATGCATACCAAAGGGAAGGTTATTGATTTAAATTCAGGTGGGGCATTATCAGTAAAATACATTTTTGTCAGTAAATGATTAGTATAAAGCAAATGAGATGTTTAAAATTCTAGTGATTTACGGCATAAAAAGGAAGCTGTTTATTGTGAGGAGATGTAGAACAGTCTGAAGAAGAGTAAATAATGAAAGATGAACGGTGACTCCTTACTGAGCAGTGGCAATTTCTTGTGCAATATGATGCAGACAACTGGATCCATCCAGTCAGGTAGATCTGATGCAGGTGAAAATGCCATCAATAAGAATAAATCCAGTAGACATTTTTAAAATCATATCCTTGCAGACTTACTTACATGAATGCATAAAGCAAGGAAGGAAAAGAATCATACTTTATTTTTGTGGAACTGGAGTTTGAACTTGGCTTCACATTTGCAAAGTAGGTTCTTTACCTTGTGAGCAATACCTCCAGTCCATTTTGCTAAAGTTATTTTTGAGGCAAACATATCTCTTTTTATCTCTTTTTTTTTTTCCCCCCTTTGGTGGCACAGAGATTCAAACTAGGCAGTGAGCTATAGGATGTGATTTTGAGGGTGAGTTATAAAATGATGAGACATTTTTGATGAATGACAAAAATAAAGCAGAGCACAGGGTTCCAACTTTGAGAAGAAGTCATTTAGAATCTGAGTTTCACAGCTAATCAGTAATGGAACAGGAGAACCTGAACTGTAAGAGATACTTGTCTTTTAGATAAACATTTCCATGTATATTGTCTTCAAAAATAAGAATAGTCCAAGCATGATGGTGTACACCTGTAATCCCAGCATTCCAGAGGCAGAGACAGGAAGATCCTGATTTTGAGGCCACCTGAGCTGCATAGTGTCAAAAAAAAACCCAAGGGCTGGGATGTAGTTCAGTGGAACAGAGCTTGCCCAGCATATATGAGACTCTGGGGTTTATCTCCATAACCACCTAAATCAATCAGTCAATCAATCTCCAGCACCAACTAAATAAATAAGTGAATAATTAAATAAATGAAGGAAAATGTATCAATACAATTTTATATATTTCTAAAATATTTTAGTGGGGGTACTAACTAGAAAATTGGTGAAAAAAGTATGCCTCAGTAACTGTTGAGGATTCCATTAAACTCTTGGATCACCCACTTTGCTCTTTAGAAGGAAGGGGGGTCAGTTTCTTTTATATAAGCAAGCACAGGAACAAAGAAGACATGAGATTTCATATGTATGAGTCCTCCTGACTCAGTGTCTCAAGTGCTGGAATTATGCACCACTACCCCCAGCTGTCCATTCTCTCTTAAGAAGTTCTTCATTCAAAACTTTAAGGATGCAATTTAAACTTTGTAGTTTACTTCATTTTAATTTTACATGTAAGTGAAATGAAGCTGATAATTGTGTTATGTGTAATGATTATTATGTAGATCTAATGCGGTTATATTCTGTATATTTTGTTGGCAGTTATTGATGACTGTCATTATAATTTTTGTTATTAAAGGCTACACAGTTTCTGTTCAAACATTTACATAATTGGAGATTTAAGTAATAGAACATCTAAGATCTCTCCTGTATTAGTGTCATTTACCTAAGGTAATTTGGTTGGGAAATGACATCATGAAATGTGGCTTTTAGAAAAATGCTTTTCATGTGCAGGCATACCTCGGGTATCGTGGTTGACTTTAGACCCCTGCAATAAAGCAAATATTGTAATAAAAAAGAGTCATACAACTGTTTGACTTCTGAGTGCATGCAAAAGTCACATTTATACCATAGTCTATTAATTGTGCAAAGTACATTTTAAAAAGTGCCATTTAAAAAATTGCTAAAAAATGTTCAAATTTGAATTATTAGGAAAATGGTGCTGATAGACTTCCTTGACTCAGGTTTACCACAACCCTTCATTGTAAAAGTGAAATATCTACAAATGCAGTAAAGCAAAGTACAGTAAAACAAGGGTTGCTTGGTGTTTTTAGTAACAAAAGTTTGTGTGGTTGTTTTAATACTATCATTAATTATATGATGTTTGACTATTTTTTATTTAAAACAATCTGTTTCTCATAGACATGTCCTATCTGTGTGTCTCTTCCTTGGGGAGATCCTAGCCAGATTACTAGAAATTTTGTTAGTCATCTAAATCAAAGACATCAGTTTGATTATGGAGAATTTGTGGTAAGTGAATTCTTGAAGATTAAGAAAGTACTATTTATCTGCCTGGAAGCGGGGGGGGGGTGAAGGAGGGGAGGTGCACAAACAATGTATACACATGTAAGTAAATGTAAAAGCGATAAAATAAAAGGAGAAAGAAAATAAAAGGTTATGAACTTCCCAGATTTCATAAATATGAGTTACTTTCAAATTATTTTATGGTCTGCAGCATTTATCTTCTATTCTTTTAATGTAAATGTTTTATTTTGTTTCTTGAAATTTAGATGAGGTTTTGATAATTATTTCAATGTTCTTTTTTTTTATTTTTTGTATTATCTAGCATTCATTGATTCCCTTTGCTCTAAAATCTGTCTTATTACCTCCTTTTATCTTTAAAATAAGGTCATTTTCACAGATCTTTTGCTTTTCTAAATTCATTTGAAGGTACAAAGGTTGTCAATTCTATTATGCTTCCTGAGATAATTAGATTTTCTGAGTACTTTTTAAGCCAAGGCTTCTGAAGAATTTTCATTATTTTCTATGTCTTCTCTTCAGTTTTCCAAGTGAAAATTTAAAAAGAACTCTTTTTGTTTTTGTCTTTCAGCTTCCTGTTATTTCACAAAAGAAGTTTTATTTGGGTCACTTAAACTCGTTGAACAAAATTTATTTAGGTTCACTTTGAATTGCCTCGCCTTATTTCTATGTTCTCATCAGATTGTGCACTTTAGATTTGAGTATTGAAAACTACTTATTTTCTCCTCTTATGTGATAGAGAACTAAATTAGACACCAGGAATCTTGGAAAGTTGCATGTTGGTGATTAAAAAATAAAATCCTTTTGCCTAAAAAAAAAAAAAGTACTTTTTACATGTTCAAGTTAAATTAATTTTTCACTCCAGAGTTGAGTTTTGAGGCAAGCTATTATGTCATACTGAATGACTATAGAGCAAGTTCTTTGGTGTCTAGTAATAATATTGGTGAACTTTATAGGAGGTGGTGAAAGTTAAATTTACTGTCTATACTACAAAATTAATAGAAGAGCACATCCAGATTAACAAAATGATGTTTTATATAAAAACTTTGCCTAGAATTAGAGGAAAATTATACATACTTGAGAAGCAAATTTGATACAACATATGAAGGAGGATGTATTTCTCCTAGAGTGTGTGTTTGCTTTTTAATTCCATGATAATAATTATCAGGCAAAGCCAGGTTGTCTACTTAGCAAGGTGAATGAGAGAAGTTACAGAATGTAAAAGTGACTCTTCAAAGCAAAAATGTGGGGTTAATTTCTACTTCCTGAATGTGTCATAATAGGTCCATTTTTTAATTAGGTGATGACTTCTGATTTATTAATTGTGAAATTTTACTCAACTTTAGTAAATTAAGACCTTATTTAATTCTAGAATAACCCTGTCAGGTATGGTGATGAATGCCTATTAATTCCAGCACTTGGGAGGCTGAGGTAGAAGGACCATAAGTTTGAGGTCAGATTGGGTTTTATACATATATATGAGACCCTGCCTCAAAAAACTGAGAGAAAGAGAGAGAGATACTCATCTGATTCATTCTGATAAAGAATGGCTGATAACCCTGTTCTCCAGTTTAGGTACACACAGACATGCACAGTTCTCAAAATGTCATGAATAAAATGTATGTTTTTCTCCAGAGTTGAAGGGCCTCTTGATAAATTTTTTAAAATATTTTGTGGAAATTTCAGTTTTAGTCTGCTGTCTCAAAACAATTCAAATATATAAAATTCACTTATACTTCATTGCTTTAGCAATTTTATGGCATAATTGTACATTATTAAATTCTCATAAGGTCTGGAGAATTGTATTTGGAAAAATAAATAGATTTTCTCTACTACTTTTAATCTAATTATCAAATTCTTTTACCTTGCCATATGAAACTGTACTTTTATTTAAGATTGTCAAATCTTAAAGCAAACCCATGGAACATAAAATTGATAGCAAATAGCATTTTTAAAGCTAAAGAGTAGCGTATGTGTGCGCAAGTGCTAGGACCTTGGCATATGCTGAGCAAGCACTCTTCACACCGGGCAGTTTTATAACTAAGAAAGAGTGAGCTATAGAATTTAGTTTTAATTGTGATTAAGATGCTGGTACCCAACTTTTCATTTGATAAATTCTTTACAATTAGTTTACCTTCAGATATTTGTCACTCTTTTCTAAAGATGACACAAAGTTATTATTTACTTATGATTGTGATTATAATTAAGCGTAATTGTGATTAATGATTATTAGGCAGTATATAGTTCATTCTCTGTCAATATATTGTTTATTAGTTATTCCAACATTTATAGCTGAGCTTCGTTTTTAAAGATTATGTATTACAGTCTTAAATTTATTTTAGTTTATTTTATTATAATTCTTTGAGACTGGGCTCCACTATGCCCAGGATCACCTCAAACTCCTGAGCTCAAGTAATTTTCCTTCTTCTATCTCCTGAGTAGATGGGACGACAGACACATACCACCATGCCCAATTTAATCTTATAAAGATGCTATATATTGTATATAAACTCCTGAGTACGTATAATACATATAAACATGTATAATGTACTGAACAAATATTTAATAGTTGACTGCTTTCCTATTGACATCTTAATTTTTTTTTTAAAGAATCTTCAGCTAGATGAGGAAACCCAATATCAAACTGCTGTTGAAGAATCTTTTCAAGTAAACATCTGAAGTCTATAGACATCTCTGCATCTTTGTACCTGCAAGTGCCATCTTCAAGGGGAAAACTACATGAAGTCACTTTCAATAACTTGATGTGTATATTAATAAAAGTAATTCAGTCTATTGTTTTAGCTTTTAATTGAAAAATAAAGATGGGCCACATTAAAACTTCATCCTCTTAACAGTTAAAAAAATTAAAGTTCCAATATTATTTTAAAAGCATACAAAGGATTATATTTCACTGATGTGAAAAGGGAATCCCTGTAGTACTTTATCTTTTTTTATATTACATATTCTAGAATTTTTCATTACTGTGTTGCTTTTGAAATTTGGTATAGTCTTTTCTATTTACCACGATATACAGATAACACACAGCAAATTCTGAAAGATGTGATTAATACAAACCTAAAAACTGAGCCAGTTTTCAAAGCTGCAAAATGGAAACTTGAAGTGCTAAAAGGAAATTTTTAAATACAGATTCTAGCTGAAGAATTCAACTAAAAATATTTATATAATGTTTATTATTTTTGAAGACTAGTGAGATTTCTTTAATAATTGTAACTCTGAAAGCGCATTGTAAAGATACTTCCTTTTGCTATTAGAAAGGAAATATCGAGAAAAATTTGTTTCTCAGTTGGTAATTTCAATCTTGTTGACTAATTTGTAAGTTTAAAATATACTAAGCTATGTAACAGCTCAGAGTTTCAATAGTTGGTGTTTCTCATTAGCTAAAATGAAACTTTTATTGGAAACTTTGACTTGGTGATATATTCTACAGATACACTTAAGTGAGTAAAGAAATGCATTCAAAGCTAAAGATATGGATGTATGTATACATACACCGCATATATATCTATGTCTTTCTGTTAAGGATTTTAAAATGGACAAGCAGTATAGGATTGAAGTGTTTACCTAATTTGACTAAAATTTTGTATGTCACCAAATTTTTAAAACAATAACAGTCAAATGCTAAGTGGTATAGTTGGCTGCTATTATACCTTCAAAATGAGTTTACACACACAATTATCTGCTTATACGGTGCTCATTTGTTATTCTCAAAAATAAAGCATGACTGATGTAATGAGATAGATTTTTAACATCTACTGTTTCACTACTTTTTAACCAAAACTAGGTTTGTTCTTAGTATTCAGTAATGGGAAATGTGTTTTGTAAAAGGGCCAAATTACAGAATGAAGGATGAAGGATGAAGAGTGAATTCGCTGACATTCCATACTAATACAATGTTTATGCTTGCTTTAAAATAACTAAAGAAAACACAAGAGAAAATCTCAGAAGTAGTTTGCTGCTAATATATACATATATTGTATAAAAAGGTATATTTTGTTTTTCTTAAAACCCTTGTTGACTTTTCTACAGTGAACATTTTTTTACTTGATTTAATAAAAACGTTAATTTTGCAAGTGGAGTTTTGTAAAAGCCTTTTTCAGTCAAACAGTAATGACTTTATTTATAGATAGTAATACAATCACTCACACACAAAAAAGCCATACATCTTAATGCCTTTGTTTTGTTGTTCTGAAGAGTGATGTTTACTATGTGGTTAAGCATTTTCTCTGTGGTTACATGAGTGCAATTTTAAGAATGACTGTATAATGAACTCTTTTTAAAAAGAGGCTTTTGACCATGGTTTTTTCCAGTTTTAAAGCAATAATTTTAGTAGTTTCTTTCTAACTTTAATATACTGAGTATGTCAACTTAAACCATTCTGGAATTTGCAAGCTTCTTTAAAGGAAAATTATAGTAGAGATCATTTTGATGAAATTGTGTTTTGAACTTTTGTGGATGAGTTAAATTATAATAGTCTTGTGTGTTTTACATACGAGCTTTTTCATAAGGAAAATACTTATTTTTATTTCTTTTCTCTGGGAACTCCTCAGTATGGAAATAATTGTTCAAAGTCTCCCCTCCTTTTGTCAGTAGATTGGGGGATAGGGATAGACTTTACAGATTTAATTTGTGGAAATTAAATTCATGGGGAAAAAGTCCTTATTTTAATATTGCTTTATAGTTGAGGGAGGGAAACTATTAATAGTCTGATACCTAAAATTTACATACCACTTTGGAAAGCTATTTCTCTCAGCAAATTAGTTTATGTTGTGAAACACAGTCTTATTTGAGATGTATTGCTTTATTTTTCAATTAAAAGTGGTTTTCTCCTACTTTGTGTGTCTATTCAAAATTTTGTTCAGAGGCAAACATTTTAGCTCATAACATACTGAAAGACATATAGGAGATAATCCATTATTTTGCACTTTAAAAAGTAGATAGGTGAAAGCTAGTACATACTGAGACCATCTTTTGGATTTAACTTTATAAACTTGTTTTTATCTGTTTCAAATGTTAAATACTTTATAAAGTATCCATGTAGCAAGATTTTTAGGCCCTCTTAGGCAGAAAACTAGTGACCTGGTTAATAAATACCTTTATGTGGAAAAATTACCCTTGAGATATCAGGGCTCTAAGAGAATATTGCCAAATGCAATGTTTTAACCTCCTGGATTGCTTGGTTAGGTATTGTTATCTCCAGTGAGCCATGGCTTCTATAAAAACCCCCTTAGTGCTGCTACTCAAGTAACCCTTTGTAGACTAGGTGATATTTTAGGCTATATAGAAGAGATATGGCATAGAAAATGTGAATATATGTAGTATACAATTCATAATAGAAATAAAGTATGCACTCCACAACTTTCTGATGTAAAATGTGATTTTTTTAAAAATTCCATACTTTTGGAAAAAAGGAATGGAGATAAAGCATATCAAGAGATTATAAAGTGATTGAAGGAGATTCAGGAACCCCAGGAAAAAATGGGTGTCACAACTCACACCTCAGTTGAGATTGTCTTAATCTTGGGGTTAAGAAAGGACAGTCCTGATGACTACTTGCCACTAATCTTATTAAACGTCTGTACAATTTTCTATGGAACAGTTTCTGGTGAGGGGTGGTACTGGGGTTTGAGTTTAAGGCTTTGTGCATGCAAAGTAGGTGCTCTACTGCTTCAGCCACAACTCCAATTCATTTTTCTGATTGTTTTTGAGATGGAGTCTTGTGACCTATTTGCTCATGCTGGCCTCAAACTGCAATCCTCCCAACCTTGTTAGGATAAGAGGTGTGAGCCACTGGCTCAGATTTGACTTTTTCTTTTGGCGCTGGAGATTGAGCCCAGGGTCTTGCCTTTGCTAAGCACAGTGCTCTTATCACTAAGTTACCAGCCCCTGTATAACCGGAATTCTTTAGGGTAAGATAATGGAAAAAGCTACTGCTGGGTGAGGTGGTGAACTCCTGGACAAACAGCGCTAGGAAGGTTGAGGGAGG